ACAGATCACACCTTCAACCAAAAGTGGTTGCCTAGGAATCCTACTCATTACAGTTAGTGATATACAGTTGAGCACCAAATTCGCAAGATGTTGCACTAAATTAGTGAGGTGAGGATTAGGAAGCATGAGAGACACTGTAATGTGGATGCAAGCTGTTGCTTTGCAAGCTCCTCTTGGTACTGGCTTCCGCTCCCCTGGGACTGTTTCCGGAACTGTGCCAGGCAGTGAAGGACACACGAGCCCTCTGTAGTGACAAGGCTTCTTATTTGTTTATCTTACATTGCATCCCTGGCTCTCAAGTTTCTCTCTAATTGCTATTTGTTTCATGGTCCATGACCAGGCCCTGAAGTAGCGTTACTAATAATTGATCTATCTCATGTACCCCAAGGCAAAATCATCTAACCAAACAATTGCTCAAAATTATGAGCTGGAGTTTGCCCCCGTGAGATGCAGATATGGCTTGTAATTTTGAAGTAGTGTTAGTTCCTTTGTCTCCTGAGTTAGGGAAAAATATCTCAGATGAATTCATGTACCCAAGTCAGATATAAAGAACAAAAATTCTTAGAGAGATAAAAAATGTTCCTTGTCCTCCCTTCCTTAGGCTACACACACACACACACACACACACACACACTCCTGAGAACACTTCCTAAATTTCGGTGTTCAGGTTTTATGTGTGAAGACTTACTGGCTATATGAACGTTTGTCTCATTCAGGATGCTATTTTGTCCTCACTAACCATACATCATCTTACTTTAATGAGTTGTGGAACACATAGATATAAATTAGTACAGCGCATCAGTAGAGTCCGCGTGTAAAGCTTTGTGTCTCTTGCTCCTCACGTACATTTTCTGATGAGTCCCCGTTCACCTCTGTTGCTCTGGACTCCTTCGTCCCCAGGGAATGGCGTGAGGCTGCCCTGAGTGTCGGATTGTGCCCTTGGATCATGATTTACTGGAACAGTGTGTGAAAACCTCTCAGAACCACAGCACTCCCTATCGGCCCCACCTCTGAAGATCCCAGGAGTGCTGTTTGTCACAGGGGACATCTGGAGTAGATTATATGCAGTTAATTGGCTCCAGGTCGAGCTTCTTACAGACAGTAGCATGCAGTAACCTATGCAATTCACTAAATCCACCCACTTGGAGTAAATCACACCTACTTCTCTTCCTAATTCCTCCCAGATGCAGGCCTCACTCATGCAGGCACACACACACCCATGCACACACGCACACACACACACACACACACACACACACACACACACACACGCACACTGGAGGATAGCAGATCGTCAGTGTACTAACAGAGAGGTTGTTGGCATGACATTTAACTTACGCATCATCTCAAGTAAAAGATCATGGAATTCCAGGAATTGTTGGCCAGGAAAAGAAGCGGGGAGCAGAGGGCTGTGGACGGTGACTGTTCTGCAGCAGAGCGAGACTGGAGTTTTGAAAGCGTCCTCGCACTTTCAGGACTGTGGCTTTGTTTTTTCGCTCCCTCTCAGCACATGTGTCAGCACGTGTGGCCACTTATCTGAATGTCGCAGTAGAAAGGAAAGCAGTGCTTTGATTTTTAGCTCATTGAACAATATTAATGAGCTGGGTTACAAGGAACAGTGTGACTACTGTTCACTGAAAACCAAAACAATCTTTCTAAGTTACGATGCTGGAGGCACGGGGCATGTCTTGGCGATTAATGACCAGTTGGAGGAGTAGATATTTCTATACATGGCCAAGGGCCATTTACCCCAGCCGGTCATTAATTTCCAGGAAACATCCTGTCCTGAGGTCATTATTGCTAATAAAATGCACATATGGAAAGTCCCCTCTCTTTTTCCTGTGTCCATAAACATGTGTTCGCTTTACATGCTTTGGGTTACATGTTATAGAAAAAATTAAGCCCCAAAGAAATGTAGCAAGTCCAGTTTCCCAAGAACAGACTTCAGGTCAGCCCGAGTTCCCTTACTGATGCCCTCCCTGCAGAGCCCCACTGGGTTATTCTGTGCCCGCTCAGCCATCTATGCCACCCTGTTGCCTGAACTCAACCCTCCTGAACCCCTAAAACCCTCAGCCAGGCATCACTGCCCAGAATGCTCTTTTTGCTTTCTGTTTTCCTTTCTCTGTCCTGCATAAAACGAAAGGTACACTGTAGTCTTTGAAGCTGTTTTACTAAGCATCTCGTACTAGCTCAGTTAAAACATTATTCTCTGCACTTAACCATTTGTGTGTAATCATGCACTCCTTCAGAAATGAGTCCTCCTGTTTCCTTCCCCTGAGTAAGTGGTCAATGGTTGCCACCATCTCTAATTGCTGATGAGAAAGTGGATATACGAAGAATGTAAATCCGTGTTCAAACGCCTCACATTACATAGCAGGTAATCCTGTGATGATAATTGCTTAGGAGCAGCGAGCTTTTCAAGGCAAATCTGTGAGTGAGGAATGGCACCCATTTTTAGCAGCAAAATCTTAGTAAACTTTGACTGTAAGCAGGTAGATCTTTCTGGAGGGAAGGGGATCACGAGATGGAGGTGGGATGGGGGACAGGATGGACAAGGGCAGGAATTCAGATGTGCTCTGCATGTGGACCGATTCCACACAAGGAATGTGGACACTGTACCTCAAATGTGCACATAAAACACTTTTCAAAGTCACCAGGGCGTCTTTCCTGAAGCATAAATAGAATCTGATGCAATCCTTTCTGATGATCAGCCAAAATGTTCTGTGACAGCACAAACATGTTTTCCTTTAAAATAATGCAATTATTTGTCACAGTCTATTTCAAATGCTATTGGGAAAATGACTTTTTAATATGTTAAAATATGACTATCACTTGGAAGGTATATGTTTATCAAGGGCAGCTGATTATGTGAATGTTTTTGGTCAGAAAGACTTTCTTGCTCTCTCTGAAATTACACTTATTTGGCACAACTTTCAAGAAATATCTGTGAATAAAATACTCATCCTTAATTATCTAAATCAACTTGACTATTCATGTACAATGGCCTACAAAAATTAATAACTTCACATCATGCACAAAGAATAATTTGATAATTTCTGTATCTTTGAAGAAAATGAAAGTAATAAAGACATTCACATTCAAGATTTCACAAAGAAACAACATAAAATTCAAGTCAGTCTTTAGATGATTGTCATGCATAAATACAAAGTAATATGCCTCAAAATCTGAGTTTATTTTACGTTCCCAAATGAACTTTTACTCCTGATATCCAAGGTAGGAAACTGACCTTGACATTCAGGCCCATGAGGCATCTCAGTCACGTGAGGAGTTGGCCACTCCTAAGAAAACCTCATCCCTTGTAGTGTCTCCTCATATAAATGTCTTTGTTTTGTTATAAAAGTATTTATTTTGAATGGCAGGTGATTCAGTCACAAGATCTATGATGACATACGCACACTATGCTAAACCTATCTCTGAAGAAGCACAAAGCTTGTTTAGAGGAGAGTTAAGTCTGGTTAACTTCAGAGCCCTTCCTGAAGCCAGCACACTGGCGGCTTTTCCATGGGCTGTTTCTGAAAAAGCCAAGCAAGGCAGAGCCCTGGGCCTGCAGGGCGGACAGCACGCACCCCGCTGCAGACAGCAGGTGCCGGTGCAGACATCACCGTGTGGTGATTTGGTCCGTGTTTTATCTGCCCTGTGATCTGGGAAGATCTGTTTGCCTGCGTGACTCAGTTTCCTCGTCTGTGAAGTGCGGTAAACAGTGACATGCAGACATGATACGCGATTCACGGGGTGGGCTCCTCGGGCCGCCTGCAGAGTCAGGAGAGCAAGGGGACAGTGGCTGTGTGCGTTGCAAGCCGGAAGGCCCAGTGCACAGGCCGAGGGCTGCACTCTCTGCAGACCCCTCACACTCCTGGGCTGGATGTCCAGACGATGGCCAGGACTGCAGCTCCTCCCGAGAAGCAGGGCACAGACTGCCATCTTCCTTCTCTTTCTAGTCCATCTGGGTGACCAGCACCTAGTCTTGATGGTGAGTCACCCAGACACCCACTAGTGGTGCTCCACTGAGCCAGGAGGAGTTGCTTCTTCAAATTCACCCCTCAATGAACTGCCCCAGTAAAGTACTTCAAAACAAAAAGTCCAAGACATAAAACCAGGCTTTTTGGCACACTCCTATAATCCTGCCATTTGGGAGGCTGAGGCAGGAGGATTGCCCAATCTGAGGCCAGCCTGCACTCTGAAGTTGAGTTTTAAGGCAAGCGTGAACTGCAGAGCAAGATCTTATGTCAAAAAATTGATACATATACTCAAGAATTTGCTATTTTTTTGAAAATCAGGCTTGGTTTGAAATAGGTGTTTTGATATTTTTCATGTCTTATAAACAACAAATGATCCACTTATTTATGGCAACTTGTTAATAAGCCCTTTCTCTCTGTTAGCATCCTTCATAGTTCACAGTTCATATTTCTGTCTGGCACCATGCCACACAGGCCCCTGGAGGGGACAGTCCTGGTGTGACCGCAGGGCCTGCACTGTGCTCTGTGCTGGTGCTTGACCCGATCTGACCCAGTGTACTGGTGGAGGCAGACTTACCTGTGTCCTGTGAGACATTTAGCTGCGCCTGAAGACAATGTCTCCTGCCTGCCTGCCTATGGAGAGGACCTTTCCCACGGTGGGGACTCAGGTCCATACAGTGCCTCTGTGCTGTCCATGGCTCACTGAGCCATGCAGAATGGTGGCTCCTCAAAATCCTGTGTTAAAAACAAACAAAAACCAAAAGTAACTTTGGGGAGTAAGTGAGATGTCCATTAACAAAATAACTGAATTTCGAGTGCCCTGTTCTTTTCTACCTCTGAACAAAAATAGTCCTGAATTTTATCATTCAATTTCTGGTTCATTTTCTATGTAATGGTTCCTTAAGATCCAAACGAGAAAGGAAAAATTGTTTTTTTAAAGCTATAAATACATTCAGGAAATCATACTAAGCCTAAGGCAATCTGTAAACGTGGGTCTTAATATCCATGTCTTTAATTTTTTAGAGCCCCCGACGCAGTTCGAAGGAGAAGGCGGTGTTCACCATGAACATCGGCAGGGAGGGGCCGGTCAAGGCCCGGGGCCCGGAGCTGCCCCTTCTGCCTGCTGTCCTGCTGCTGAGTGCAGCCATGCTGTTCCTCCCAGTGCTGGGGACCCCGAAGCGAGACCTCCCCCGGCTCCGGCTGAGCTACAAAGGTAAAGGCGCGCTGTGGCAGGGTCCTCGGGACTCTAAAGGCTGTCTTGGGCCAGTGCTTGCATTTTATTGAGAAATGCACCTTGACACAGATACTACCATCAGCGAGCTAACTACAAATTAAAACAAAGTGCTGGTTATCAAAAGCAACCCAAGTCATCTTCACAGTATTTGTATCTGAAAAAATTTTGAATCCTGACTCTGATGGAAACAAAAAATCATTGATACAGAACAAGTCTGTGTAAAAAGGGAAAAGTGAGCAGAGGCAAAACAGTGGCCACAGGGTCCTGGAGCCCACGGGAAGCGTTGGCCATGGCCAGCAGGTGTGAGGTCCACCTTCCCACTGTCCTCACGGCTCGTGTAGCAGCTGAAATGTGACAAAATTCACACGGTCAAATGCCAGCATCATTCGAAGGGTCTGCAGTGTGCACTTTGCTGACAGCAGACAGAGCTGGGCTTTTAGAACAGAAAAAACAACCCACTGTAAAGACAAGCCTGGAGAACAGGTGTCGGTGTTGGGGAGCGCGATGGCCTGGCATGAGAGGCAGTCTTCGGGCTGGGAAGCCAAGCTGTCAATGGTGACAAGATTTGGGACCCCCAAGTGTGTGGCTTTTGTGCAATTCATCAAGTGTCACATGTAAGGTCCGTGTATTATTCATATGTAAACTTTACCTTAAAAACCAAAAAAAAATATTAGAAATCAAAACAATAAAAAGGGATACAGCAAATTTCAAAGCAAAGGTTTGAAGCAAATAAAAGTGAACTATTGAATTACTGTAGTAAATATCATAAAAGTATGTGGAAATGTGTTGAAAATACCCCAAACCTCACATAATCTCTCACCTTAGATGGTCCCAGCGGACTGGAGTGAGGACTGTGAGGGACGCCCCCTCTTCCACCTCCCCATACCTGCTATCTGTCTCCTCTCTGTGTGGGAGATTGGAGGGGGGACAGAGGGACAGACAGGGACTGGCCCCATCCGCAGTGCCTGCCTCTTGGCTCATCCCTGGCCACTGGCTGGATGGCCCTCCTGAGTGCTCCTGAGTGCTCCCCTGCTGGGCAGAGCAAAGTGAGGCATCTATGTGATGGTTGACTGAAGCTATGTAAGTGATTTTAAATTGTTAAACGGTGTAGTAGAAAACCACTTGAACTCTTTAAGGTCACTGTGTGCCCGGATGAGCTGTACTGAATTTTGTGGGATTGCAGTGCAGGGCTTCCCTGCGGAAGCCAGAAGCTGTCTGTGGGTCTGCTCTGCATCAGAGCGGGTTTGGAAAGGAGAGCAGGTCTGTTCCTGTCCCACCACCTTGTAAGTGGCCTCTTCCAGAGTGAGAAAGTTTGGCGCAGGAAGTCCATTTTCCGCCCACTCCCCTTCCTTCCCTCCACCTTTCCCTTGTCTCCATCCGTTTGTCATTTTCTGTAGATTGCAGCACACAGTGTGTACATGGCTCATGTGGGGCTGGTGCGTGTGCATTGAGGAGTGCTGTGTGTGTGTACCAGCTCCCCTCAGGAGTGGAGACACAGTACTAACACATCTGCTAACAAACTAAGTGGGAAGAGAGAAGGCTGTGCCGCTGCTCCGGGTGGGGTGAAGTGTGCGGTGGGTGTCCTGGCCCGCGGCTGTGTGGCTGTCCATGATCTCTAGCGGCTCCAGGATGAGATGAGACCGCAGCACCTTTCTGAGACAGCGCTGTGAGCCTGAGCATTCATGCTTGGGCACTGAGAGCGCTGGTGGAGTGTGCAGATGGACAGATCGGCCACAACAGAAACATCGTTTTGGTGTTCAAAAGGTTGTGTTGCACGGGCGTGAAATCAGCAGGGATTCCATTGCCCCAAACTCCCTGCCTCCTCCCATACTAGCTGGAGGGACACACAGTACCCTGAGCCTGGCTACAGGCTGTGAGATAATTTTCAGGGATTTCTTCAAGGTCAGCAGGATTGTAATAACCGCTTGACTTGATAAAGGCTGAGCCTTAGGTCTTGGATTCACAGGCTCTTGCTCAGGTCTACCGCTATGTAAAGAGCTTTGCTTTCAGTTCATGTTTTGAATTCTTACATACGATACATATGAATAATCAGTATGGAATCATAGAGATCAGGGTGTCTGATAACTTTAGAGTTTGTGTAATATGGCATTTTGCCCTGAGTTTTTCATTACAGTGATAATGTAGTTGTAAAAATACTTTTTAAAGAAATGAACAATTTCAATTTCATAGTGCTGTGATAATTTTTTATTTTATAATCATCACTATGGACTTAGAATGTGTTCGGGATACCTACAGACCTGCATAGCATCCCCCTAAGTGCTACTTCTTTGGAGAACTCCAGAAAAGGGGGAGAATATAAGGCACCCAGGGCAGTTCACAGTGATCCTATGTTGGGCCACTCACAAGTATGTCCCGGGACCCCACTGAGTACCACACATTGCTCTAGGTCAGAGGAAGTCCCTGTCCCCCAAAACTGATTTGCTCAGTCTAGAAACAGAGAGGAAAATGATAAAGCACGGGAACCAGGCTGTGCCTCTCCATTCCAGCTGCACAGCCAGGTGCAGAGCTGCCGGGACGCATGTTAAACAGGTGAGCGGTGGGGGCTCAGGCCCCGGGGACTGGTCCAGATGGATGATGCCAGCCGTCAAAAGCAGAACCAAGATGTGATGCTTACATTTTTTAAAAATAAATTGAAGACCTGGGCTACAGTCCCCTCTGAGGGAAATTTCCATATTCAAGAAAAAAGTATCAGTATTTAAAAAAAATACAGGATTCATCCTTACTTCTTTGGCAGTGGTAATATGTTATTTTTAGTGACTTTTAATAGTAGTAATCACTTTTATACCTCCAAAATTGTATGCATTCTCATTGACTAGAAAAGCCTACAGTCTCTTAAGATTTTTATCTGTTACTTTTATCTGTTATTGAACAGAATGGTTATCAGAAATTTCTGATGACTAGATAAATCCATATTTTATACATTTACCAGTTAATTTGTTTAAGCTCATGTGCACAGCATCTTAACTCAGGATGTCTTGGCTTTTGACTCGTGGTCCTGCTGGGTCTGGCTGTCCTGTTGTCTCCCTTGGGAGCTCGCCGCAGTGATGGGTGGGCTCTGGGGCCAGACCGCCAGGGGGCACCAGGTGCCGGCAGGACTCGGGAGGTAGCTGGGCAGCCCCTGCTGCCCCCAGCATTCCACTTAGTGTTAGTTTCCCCTGGACAAGAAGGGCTCACGGAGGGTGAAGGTGCTGAAGCGGCTTCCTAGTGCTTCTGCCCTGTGGTCGCTCTCAGTCGAGCACAGGCTTTGAGGGTGTGAGCTCTTACAGCAGGCAGGGTCTCTTGCTCTAGACCCAGGCGGTCTTTGAGTGAGGACAGCCCTCCCTCTGCATGAGATTGGGTGCGAGATCACTGGGACTTCAGCCTACGTGATGCCCATGGAGTGGGTGCTTTTTTTTTTTTTTTTTTTAAATTAATGGCAAAAGCCTGCACTGAATATCTGCCCCAACAGATTGAGTGAGGGGAATTACCAACCTCATAGTGAGGATTCTCTGATTTTTTTGGCTTATAATGTAATTCATCAGTAGTTTTTGGTGGATGTGTTGTCTTTGAATGGACTCGCAGGGACTCCATCTTCTCACTGCATTCAGGTTCTTGTAGTCCCGTACACAGCAGTGGAAGGGCTCCAGAATAACTCCCCCGCCTGTGGAACACTCGGCTGTGCGTAGTTAATAACAATAGTCTGTGAACGCCTGGTGTAGCTAGTGGGTATGTCATTGAAGAGAAGAGACAGAAACCTTAGCACAGTGCAGTTCAGATTGTGGCAGGGAAACCCAAACCGTAGAGAGGCAAATTACTTTGCAGGATGAAAGGGGAAGGCACAGTGTAGAAGAACACGGCAGGAAGGAGAGGCGAAGGCTGATGAGAGTGAAGTGTCCGGTGTGGTCAGGGAAACAGTTAACTGGAAGAGAGTTGTTTTCACGGACAATTACAAAGTGGTGGCTCATGTGGTCATCTGGAATAGTTTGGGGGAAGAAATTCAAGTACAAAGGTCTCAGGAGAGAAGGGTCTGACGTGTGTGTGGATCCTAAAGAAAACCATGTGGCATGGGGAAAGAGCACTGATTAAATAGGTAGGCCATGGTTAAAACGGACATTTAGCCTCAGTGCCGTGCGAGTTAAGGGAGAGTCTTCAACATAATCTGACTTGATCTGACCTTTCCTTGTCCTGATTTTCTCTGATTTTTATGCTGAAATCACAACAGAAAGAAGGGGTCAGAGAAATAGAGAGCCAAGTTACAAGCTGTGTAATAATGCAGGCAAGAGATGGCGGGGTACGGACCAAAGACAGGAGGATGAGAGTGTGGAGCTGCTGAGCCAGGCTGTGCTGAGCCAGGCTGCGGCGGGCGGCAAGTGGAAGGAGACAGAGCTTCCCGCGGGGTCACAGCCAGGGACCCAGCAGCCCGCCGGCCCTGCCAGCATCCTCAGCCCAGGTCTTCAGCACAGTCACCATGGGAGGTGCCACCCTGATCTGGACAGCCACTTCCAAAATCCCCACAGTGGCACAGGAGACTTTGGGGGACATCGTAGATCTAACAGCTGTGTCCAGGAGGCATCTGTTCAGGTGGGATACAAAGCTGTGGATTGCAAAAAGCCCGAGTACTTTTCCTGTTTTGTGGTCGGGAGACGGAACTCAGAGGCTCGCGCATGCATGCGAGTGCTGTGCCACTCAGCTCTACCCCCTCGGATGTGTTGAGAAAATCAATAACTAAGGATTTGAAGGCAAAACAACAGACAGATCAAATAATCCTAGAATCACATAAGTGGACAGATGAAAAAGGGATGATTGGACCCGAAGCTGCTGTTTCAGTTTAGAAGTGTTGGTGTTAAAACCTGCCTATCCCACCCTATTATTTAATAATTAAAGTCTGTCCCACATGGTGCGGCACTGTTCTAGAGTGTCCTGGGCTGTGAGAGTCCCCAGACTACAGAGTAATCTAGCCACATGAGGCGAAGCACAGT